ATCGAATAATCATATAGACTGACATGTATATATGTAACGCATGTAACGCTTTCGACAAATTGCATCGAAGCTGTCTCGCGATGGTTCACGACAGGCAAGAACATAAGAATTCGACGTGTCCACGACATCCCTTTTAGGAGTTGAGTTCCGAAAAACTGACGTTCCTGCCAGGACTCGAACCCTGGACCTCGGGGCTCGAGCCGTCCGACCAAACTCTTTGCCCACTGGGCTAAAAAGAGCGCGTACGTTTACGGAATCTTCCAAATCTATATAATAAAAGTCTTCGGCAGTGTACGGCCGTAAATCCTGGAACCGATATCGACGACCGTCATCCCTTACACGTGGCAGATTCCTTTGTTCTTGCCCTGTCGCAATCGCACGAGAGCAGTTTCAAAGTTCGACGCGGTTCGGTACGCTTAGTCGATATTCTGCGCTCGTCATCTAGAGTCAGCTCCGAAGATATCTACACTTCCGTTTTTTTTCGATCCGTCGCTTTCAAACCCCAGTAGGTAATTCGAGTGCGGCGATTGCACTCCCAGCAGTCACTTTGGGATATGCCAGTCAGGATACCCCCGTGACCGTCAGAATCTCAGTTCAAAGTTGGTATTTATAATACCTACCGTACCTAGTCCTAGGTGATTCCCGACTGCCTCGATGATTGGATCAGCAGTCGGTCCTGAAGCCTGAAGGATATCCTGTGAGCTGATTCCCGACTGCCTCGGTGATTGGATCAGCAGTCCTGAAGGATACCGTAGTCCAAGGTAATAATCCGAATAAATAAATAATTATTTGCATTCGGAAAGTCACAAATTCAGGTTTCCCGTTCGGAACGTAGAAATTCGGAAAGGTTAAATATTTCTAAATTGGGCCTCGGAAGGCAAAAATCTGCCCAAATCTGCCCTAAAATGCGTCTTCAAGTATGAACATAGGGCATTCGGATTCTGGTCGGAATCGGCATAATCAATTCCGCATTCCTGGTCGGATTGTTGGAAAATATTACTTGGAAACTCCGTTCGGAATGATCACGTTGGACTACGGTATCCTGTGAGTGACGCAGATAACAGTTAGTCGCTAGCGGCCCGCGCGGGCCGCGCCCCGGAATGTGAAGTAGATCGCCGGATTTCTCGGATGTTGTCGCCTTTGACGCCCCAGATTTGATCACAAGGACGCAGCCAATCACAATCGAAAATTTTGTCGCATCTGAGTGCGGAGTTTGGCGCCCAAACTGGTTTGTCCGCTTGTCGAAAGTACGATTTAATAGTAGGTACAACGTTGAACGTAGGTACCTAGCAGCGAGCGCCGGTACTGTACCTTCGTAGTACCTAGCTGTGTGCATTTAACCCGCATGGGTTGAGAATCGACGGTCGATTGCACCCGTGCCCGGGGCACGGGTGGGCACTGGGGTTGGAGGTTTATCAATACGGTAGGATTTGGTCTGGCTGTTTGACGGGTTTAGCTTGTTTCTCAGGCTAGGTGATAGGTGGCTCTGAGTCCTCCCGGTTCCGATCATGTTGTAACTTGTATCTTGAAACCAAAAATTACCGGTATGACCTTACTCGTACCTACCGGTCACCGTTCATGGGCCATGCCCACAGTGGCCCGGGCACGGCCGAACCGCCGAAGGGAGGTCCGCGTACAGTTCGCATCTGGTCACTGGTGGTTGTACTCGCCGCGCGCTCACTCCGCAATGAAAGTTGTCCGATACGGTACGCACCGCGGTTTTCGGCAACGCCCCCGGGCCAGTCACGTACTGTGGCAAGTTGCAACACACGAGGTAGGAACCTGGGGTAACCTGGCCCCTGAGCCAATGGTAATACTCGGCTCGCGAGTCGCAGTGCTGGGATTCGATCCCTGGGAAGTCCGAAGTTTCAGGGAAATGTCCCGCGAGCTGGGAACTTCAGGGAATCAGGATCGTTGGTACCGGACCTATTGTACCGTACTAGCTAGGTAGGTACCGTGATACGGTAGGTACCTACGGTCCCCGTACCGCCTAAGGTAAATCGCCTTGATTTTAATATTTTGGGTGTGGGTGCGAACAGTTAGCAAGCAATAGGACCCTAACTGCGAAAAGCGAAACCAAAGAATATTACCTCAAAAAGTGTTTTGCAAGCTAGGCAAAAAAAGCGAAAATCTGCTTTGTGCGAAATGTAAAATAAATTCTCAAAGCGTCAGGTGAAACTGCAAAACGAACGAAATTAACTTTTCGCACCAAAAGGTGGGACATTCCCTTGGCGGTACGGGTAGTACCGGTAGGCTCAACCCACAGGTAACAGATACGGCAACCTCCAGTACCAGTACAATGTGCATGTACCTTCAGAGCACCATTCGGTGATAGGTACCTAGGTACCTAGCTAGCTACGGTATTTGCTGACGTGGGTACCTACTGGTAACTACCGTCGCCTGGTCCGCCGTCGGTACAGAATCAACACTGACAACGGCAGACCGCGGCACTTTGGTACCTACCTACGGGTAACCTAGTAAAACCCACGTAGCTACCGGTACCTAGGTAGAGTCGATGTCAACATGCATATGGATCTACGGTAGGTAGAAGACCTTCGCATAAAGGTGCCTGTGCGCCTGTTCAAAATGTCAGACTGCTCACTGCTGGCACCAGTACTGCTGAGTGCAGTGCTCAAATGCGAGGACGATCACTTCGTCTGTTCCAACTTCAAGTTCAATGCGCTCGTCGCCTGAGAGGTATTTAGCCTGGCTTCGCGCCCCATCTCCGCATTACCTAGTTCTTCTCCGCGAAAGAGTATTTTGTTGCTCTGTCCACTATGGCTTCCAAGCTCCAGATCGCTGCCCTCCTGGCCCTCTGCCTGGTGTCTGCTGTTGCTGCCAGGGACAGCATCTTCGTCGAGTCCGAGGCCGCTCACACCGAGCCTGTTGCCACATATAATGAGCAGCTGCACAAGTTTGAGTTTTTCAACAAAACCGTGGAGGCGCCCCGCAGGAAGGCGATGGGCCTCGGCGACAGCATACCCGTCACTGTCACTTTCTACAATTCGCCCGGCATGGACTGCACGACTGGTGAGGCTCTGCTCCAGCCTAGTGCTGCCTCAAATCGTTCTGGGATCTGCTCAGATCTATGTGCTGCACACATTGCTCTTCAATCTGGACTCCTGTGCAAGAGGCGATTCTAACTCGAAGAGTCCAACTCAGCATAGAATTCATTGCAATGTGGAACTTAGCAACAATAGTCCGATCTAGTATGGGTACTGTCTCTGCAAGGATATAAGAGGCTTGCTCACAGTTGCCTCATTGATATTTGAGAGCTGCTCAGAGGAGCTTTGATGCTCCAATCTGAGCTTTAATAGCTGCTCCTATTGCGCTGTCATCGAATCGCATTGATTGAACTTTGTTGAGTACCTTTCTTGGCTGCTAATATATGCTTGAACAGTCTACCAATGTAGATTCTTTGTATGGCAGAGCACAAGAAAGCATTGTGCCATTCTGTCCCGAGTTTGGACACAGATGGAGGCCCCAGCTCTTGACAAGAAGGCTATCAGATTGGACCGCAGGATCCTGCAGGCATTCATTAGTGCTAGATGGATGTGATTCCAGGAACTGATTGGCGCACTCAGGCTCATTCATCTGCATAAATGTACTTTCATTCTGGAAGAGTAACTAACCTGAAATCATTGTTTTTTTGCCAGGAAACGGGCAGTGCGGATACGGTAATGACGTTGGTGGCACTGCATACGGTGGCGGCGGCCCCTTCGTTGAGACCTCTCTCTGTAAGTGACATGGCACTTTGCAAGCTTGGTCAGCTTGGTTGTTCAGCTCAGTTCTTGGCATTCATCCAAAGTAAGGTGCTCCTGAGTATGGTGTGGCCCTGTGTGCCACATGGGCCTCAGTGCCCCACAGATCTGCTAGCATTCTGAGCATGAATCCGCGCACAATCCAAAATACTGCAGAAAACACCAGTCCTGTGCACTCGATTTGTTCAGGGCTACTGCTTGCTCCCTTGACATCCCCAGCCCCAATGGCTGATCTGTCCTCTTTGGTTTTTGCAGACCCCTATCACGCTGCCTCTGGCAACTACGGCTTCATGGGTGGCTGCGGCGCATGTGGCGTGCTGACCTACAATGGCAAGGCCCGCGGCTTTGTCATCACTGACATCACCGACGACGACTCTCAGCAGGGCAGGAATCATCACCTTGACCTGTGCCTGCCTTCCTTCAACTATTTCACTGACGGCCGGGCAGGGGATGGCGGTCACGGAGGCATCTTCTCTGGGACCTGGACCAGGGTGGACTGCGGTTGCATGGGCGCACCCAGTGAGTTGCTGCTGTACCCTTGGATGCTCGGCCCCCATGTGACCTGGCACACCAGCAAGATGCTTTCTCTTCTGGTCTTAGGGTCTGCAAGAACCTTGTGCCTGATCATCCCGTGAATGTGCCTTGATTGCTGTTTGGATCTGGATCCAGCATCATAAGGGCATTCAAACTTGCACTGTCCCATCTCTTACAGCCTGCAAAGAGTAGACCTGACATTCTTCTGCAACATTCTTCTGCAACATTCTTCTTGATGCGACATAAGGTGCTGACAGCATATCCTGCTGTGCAGACTACCCCGACAACGCCATTGTTGTCCGCACCCAGGAGTACAACGAGTGGGCCAAGGCAGTCGTCATCTCCCGCATGGGAGGTGTTGGCGAGATTGCTGGGGTCAATTTCATAACTCGCAACGGTGGCTTTGTCAGAGGTGCCAGAGTCGAAGGCTGGGGTACCTGGTGGATGCCCACTGAAAGCATCAGCGGCAAAGGCGGCGTCGACCTGCAGATCACCCTCACTGATGGCAACACCCTGACCACCACTGGCTATCCCCTCCCTGACGCGAGAGTGTGGAGGACGGGCAACATCTACAACGTGTTCAACAACCTCCCGAAAACCTGCTAACCGGAAAATGGCCCATCCCTGCAGTCGTGGGGGCAGCCTTGTGCGCATTTGTGCATTCTCTAATGGAGATCCTCCAGCAGGAATTTAGTTAGGGCTTGAGGGTTGTGTAGACTAGCTTATTCTTTGTGTGTTGCCCGTTCCAGCCTGTGTTATCCACGGCTGTCAAGGGTGCAAAAACATGGGCAGCAGCAGGGCAGGTGAATGCTTAAGCAGCCAGTACAGCGCCCGTCTCAAACAGTGAGGTAGCACCACTTCCCCTCTGCAGCTGCGGAGGTCGGCACAAGTGGATAGGTATACTGCCGCAGATTGAGTGACCAGTCGGTCGACCTCGTTAGGCAACAGCTTGCCTAATTGTAGTTTAAATTATGCAGCCTGCCAGAGTCTGTAGCAGGCTAGATTCCAAAAGTGAGTTGACACTCGTATTTGTAGACTTCGAAGAATGCACGAATCCATTGTGGTCTAAACATCAAGGACTAACAGAGTAACAGCCAGGTCCCTTGAATAAGCCCTCAAATTGTAGTGTGGAGAGACGAGGCTTCCAGAAAGGTGATTCGTTAGACAGCCAGGAGAGAGACAGAAGTTTCATCCTTACGCTGAAACAAACATCTTGAGACGTGGAGCTTATATTGAACATGATGCAGCCGCATCAGCATTCGCTTCATTAAGCGGAAATTGTCCCAACATGCCAAACTATCGTGCAAAAGTCACGACATCACAACCTATTACACTTCTTGATGCAAAAGCACTTGTCAACACTTGTCGTGTGACATGATGGAACGGGGCCTTGCACCTCACCTTCAAACTGAACGTCTGTATTGAAGTTCGTAACACTTGTTATGAAATTACTCATGCTGTAAGCCTCAAATGCTTCTGTGGTGAAGCAGATGGTCCGCCGCCCAACATCATGGTTAAAGAAACTCACGTGTTCATGCATGGCAGTATATGCAGGCACGCCTCAAAGCTCTAGAACAACTTCTGGTCACATGTTACTTCCCGGTTCCGGAAGTATCTGTCACCATGACTCGGACGCAGCCACGTCATTACCGACAACGATAGCTACTGGCATCAAATCGCCGATTTGTAGATTTGAGGTTGGATTGAGAGTGATTTGCATGCCATCTAGCTAGTACGACATTGGACATGACTTGCAGCCGTAGCAAGCTGCAGAGTCAACTCATTGTACCGTCCCGGTCTCACCGGCAGACTTTGCCCGATGGCTCTATGTGGCTCAGGGCGTTAATAAACCGTAAGTTACCATCAAATCGCCGATCCCGCCTTTGTCAGGTCACTATCTGAGATTATCGCGGTATTTTCATCGTACATATACAAATCGCAAACAACTACTTGAACATATACGGCTCAGCTCCCGGCCATGTGTAAAAGGTTTGGCATGCATGGTGTTTCAAAAGCTAACGGGCATATGTACTGCACAATGATCCGCGAAGTTAAAGAATTATGAGAAGTTACCATCTGCGAAGCTGCAATAAAAATTTCATTCACTGAGTCAGCGCGAGCCCATGCACCGCCACATGGGGGTGGCCCCACGATATACCTGTATATGGCGTTCTTTGCGTGCATGAGTCCACAGTTCACATTGCAGACCTCCGAGTTTCAGTGCTTGTAGTACAAGCTGCATGAAGATGCGGCATTAATCCCCTCGATGACGAGGCGCAACATCTGATGCCCTTCACCCGCCAGGCTGCCTCTGATGCATTCGGTTTGATTGGGTTGACGAAGCCTTTGTGTTGACTCTAGCTCAAACTCGAGCACGGTAATCAATAAGGAGCCAACATCATCTGTCTGATTCAATGAGAGGGTAAAGTTGCCCTAGATCGGGGGATACGTGCACTGCAAATAGCAAAAGTTGCATCTCCCAACCCACCAAGAGTAACTACGATGATCCCTCTACTCATCCAATTGGCAGGGGCTAGAGTTGCTAAAGGCGCTAAACGCCCTTCATCGGTTTCGTTGGATCCCACGGCTTGATCTCTGAGACGGGCGCCATAACCCGCCCATACTCATCCCCCTCGTCTTCATCGTAAAAGTTGACTGTCCCCCGACAGCTCGGCGCCCCGCAGTTGCACGTCAGAATCTCGTCTTTCGAATTGAACCTGCAGCAGATCACCGCGTTCAGACTCACCCCCATGGAATACACATGTACGTGCTGAGGGGAGCTCAACAAAGATAGCTTGACAGGCCGCTTCTCCTGTTCATTCGCTCTGTATGGTGTGGAGTGCATCCGCAAGGCCGGTGACCAGAAGGGCCCCCTGATCGACATGTGTCTCAATCAATTGATCAAGGCGGTTGCACCGCAAAGGGCCAGTCGTTCAAGAATGCATCTCAGACCCGTCAAAAAAAAAGAATGGAAGGAGAGATACGCACAGACACCATTTTACCACCACTTGCGTGCAACCCCTCTCATGATTGCCTGCTGAAAATCTCAATTCAAGAGGCCAGTCTGACAGTGACGCAAAAAGGTCAAAGCACTGCACTTGGAAATTGTTAACAGGCCGTTGTCAGCTGTGTGTTTGGACTCCCACGAGTGTCACGACTGGCACAAACATTCCATCTCTGATGAGCTCACGCGCAATGCAGCGGCCGCCGCGTGGCGTTCTGAAAGGATATCGACGGCTCACTTCTTCCCGGACGGTGGCGGCCGCGGTTGGTTAGAAAAAGGTCAGAACCCGGGGTAAGGGTAGGGTTAGGTTGGTGGTTTCTAATGTGTAGGGGTGCCAAGCGCGTAAACTCGCCGGGTTAGGTCTTTGTTCTGTCCTTCCCCGGGGACTCTTTGCTTTCCCGACGGTTTAAGCCTCGACCTGGCTACCCTAACCATAGCCGCCCATGTACCGGGAACCCAAAATAGTATCGAAGGGTAGCATTTATGGCTGTCAGACCGCCCGGACTGCCGGGTCATCTGTCAAAAAAATCGAGGTAGAGAACGACGGCCTTGGTACATTGGCCTATTAACACTTTCCAAGTGCAGTGCTATGTACTACTTGCGACAGTGACACGAGTGCGAAAGCGCGGAAGCGCTGGAAAAGCTGCACACCCACCGGTAGTCGTAGGTGAACTCCTCCCCCGGGAGGATGTCCCGCTTGGCGGTGATGACGATGTGCTCGTCGCCGTCCGCGCGCACGACGCGCGAGAAGCAGTTGGGCTCGCACGCGTGGTTGATCAGGTGCGCGAGCGACCCCGCCTTGGTCGCGTCCACCACGCGCTGGTCGTCGATGCGGAACATGTACGTGCCCGCGCCCTGGGGGACGTACACGTGTCAGCAATCTGTTCGTCCATCTTTCGCTAAGACTTCCCTGCTGCTGTCTCGGGTGGCCCGCTGTTACTCCGTTCCTTGATGCGATCGGCACCATTACGGGTTTCTGGGTCGGGGTGAAATGAGCATTTCACGGAAGCTCCTTCGAGGAGGCGGCAAGCAGCCAGTCATAAGGCTCGACAAGGGCCGGTGCTTTGAGGGCGGTAGCCTTGTGCAAACAAAGAACTTGGCTGCCGCCAACGTGGTGGGCTCGCACGCCACCGACCGTTTGGACGTAGGATAGCAGACGGAACGTAAACGGGCTCGCCCCTCCTCTTTCGACCTCCAAAAACAAGTTCCTCGTCCATAATACCTCAGCAGAGACGTCGCAAGTCGCGAGTGTTCGTCCACACCTTTCTACGGGGTTTGACAAGGATGGTCTTCAAAACGTTTTGTTGACATCTCCCAGATATTGCAGACTCTATGTCCGAAAGCTGCAGTTTCTGTGCTTTGGGGACAAAGGTACGCCCGCCTTCTCTGGTTTCAAGCAGCCCTCGACTTCCGGGACTAGAGCAGAGGGTCGGCAGCAAGGGAAGCTTTCACACGCAGATCGACCCAGATTCTTGCTCTCTGTGCTACCGCACAACGAGCCGGGTCAAGGATAAAGGCAAGCGCCGCTCACCACGATGGAGTTGTAGAGGTTCTTCTCGCGCGCGTCCGCCACCGCCTGGCGCACGACCTCCCCCGCATACTCCGTCACGAAGCTGGCCTGCGCGTGCCGCTGCTTCGCAAACACGCCCCACCCGTGGATCGCGCTCTTGCCGAACGCGAGCCGCTGCCCCTGCGTCGTCTTCATCATGATGTACCGCTCCGTCGCGCTCTTCGGCCCGTCGCCCAGCAGCCCCGGCCCCGCCTCGAGAGCGTCTCCCGCGGCCGCGAGCCCCGCGCGCGGCCCCGCGTGCGCTTTTCGCCGGTCGAGGGTTTGGAGGGTTTTGGAGGAGCCGGCGCCGGGGGCCGGCCGCCGGTCGGCGTGACGGCGGCCGGTGATCTCGTACGGGACTTGGCGCACGAAGAGGCGCTTCGCGAGCGCGGTCGCGACGGCCTCGGGGGCGCGCTGACCGCGGCGGGCGGCGGGGTCGAACGGCTCTGCGGGACAGTGAATGGTAAGAACTGAGAAGGAACGTCCACTTTCGGAGCTTTCCCTCAAGTGCACCGATAGGGGCAGGCAAACAGCTGTTGTGAAATGAGATGTGTGAAAAACGACGTCATCCGGGCCAGAAAAAGCAGAAGGAAAAGGAGAACTGTCGTAGGGCCCCCTACCTGTTCTGGCGCACCCTGACGGGTTGGCAGGCGGCACGTAGTCTTCCGCGCGCACCTTGGACGGCCCCGCCGCGTCCCGCCTCTCCCTAACCAGCACGCGCCCCGCTTTTCCCGCCTCCGGCGGCTTGTGCCGCGCACACCACGCCAGCAGCCGCAGCGTGTCTTCCTCTTCGTCGTGTTCTTCTTCCTCCCGCTCAGCGGCGCCGGAACACTCTCCCGCCACATCTGGAGCTTCGGAATCCCCTCTCAGCTTCGCACCTGCCGACGTTGCGTGGTTTTGCGCCTGCGCCGCTCCCCTTTCCGTCCGTCGCTCTCGTTCCGAGTCGGTACCCTCCCGCGCTAGCTTATTCGCCCGCTTCTCGTTATTACGCTCTTCCTCCCCCTTCGTTTCCCCGCTCTTCTTCCCCCCCCGGAGCGGAGTCCTCCCCCGCTCGCGGCTGCGTTGGTAACTAGTGGCGGGGACGTCTTTGCTGGTGACGACCTCCATGCAGAGGCCCCTGCCGCGCGCGCACAGCGGGTGGAACGCGGTCTTGCACGACTTGTCCTCGCACTGGATGCAGGCCCCGTGCTTGACCCGGCAGATGGAGCACCGCAGCTTCCACCGGTCCTGCAACCCAAAAACAGAGCCTCGTGTGAATCCCGAGACGCGAGATGCTATTTCGTCTCCTGTCGTTTCTTTGAGCTTCAACCGGGTTTTCGAATCTTAATCTTGAGTTATGAATCTTGAATCGCACTGCTCAGTATGAAGATTCATCGTCAATAGCTCAAATTCGTGTCTCGTGGAAGATTGGTAACGGTCTTTTGTGTGCTCAAAGCGGAGACCAACCTCGGAAAGACCTCTCTTCTTTGCAACATCCAAACAGTAGATATGCTTTATTATCCGTGCCCACTGTTGACAAGCTGCAGAGAGTATACTTTCTTTGGAAACACCATCAAGCCGATTTCACGTATGTTCTCTTTCTCTCTCACACACACAAAAACGATGTGGAACCTCTCAGAGAAGCAGCACCATCAAACTTTGGCAGCTGTCTGGGCCTCACCTTTCCGATGGCGTCCACCTTTTCGATCTGATGCGGCTTCAGCAACGTCTCTGCACACGCAAACGCATCATGTGAGCTATCGTCAAAACGTCCCACTTGCCAAATCATCACTTCCGTGGCTCTTCACTGGCGGCTGATTCGCCGTAGATGAGGAGAAGGTCAGGGCTACCCTCGGATCCAGATGTATAAGTCGTACTAGCAACGGCAAGCTGTTTTGCCAAATTCTTACTGCTGAGACCAGTGCCACGATCCCTGTCCGTACTCTTTGACGGGAATCATTCGTGCAATTGAGAATACCAGGCAAAATGACGCCGTTGACAAGTTCCGCGCAATGTAGCAGCTGAGTGGATACGACAGGCGTGTGGTACGGGAGGAAACGGTCAGGGACCAGGGTGGTGCCAATACGAAGAATGCAACCATGAATCTCTACTCATTTTCAGTGTCTCAATCATCCTTCAGCACTTTCTTTTCTTCCTTTCTTTCCTTCTTTCTCGTAAGCATAAAACAGAAGACAGTAACAACGTCCAAGCATCGCGGCATTCATTGGATACCGTATCAAACAGCCATGCTTCTTCAACAATGACTCTACGTAGCAATCAGAACCCAGCTGATGACCGTCTTTTAGGTTGCTAACCCCACCTGGGATCCAGATGGCGCACGTGAGGTGCGCCCAGCGGCCGTCATTGGTGGGCTTCATGGCGCCCCCCACGACAGGGCACAGGCAGCAGGGCGGGGGCTCCTTGAGGGCGTCCTCCTGGCACAGCTGACACAGCCACAGGTCGCCGTCCGGGGGCTCCAGCTCGCCGTAGCAATGCATGTGGACCTGCGGGGGCAAGCGAAAACAGCTGGCGGTTTGTTTTGGGGTTTGGAAGAAGATCAGGCCTTGCTTTTCAATGGCTTTGAAAGGATGAGAGGCAAAGACACCCGCTTGGTTTTGAAAGAAGCGTCCAGCAACTGCCACTGTGATAAAGGGCTTGATGCTGGTCAAGATTTCAGAGGACACTTAGATACTCACTGCACAAAAGAATATTGTTGGCCACCAGAGGAGCCTGAGTTTTGCCGAAAAAACAAGCACCGGTTTGGGTCTTAGGCCTATATGAGCCCGCGGAATTGCTTTGGAGTACAACTCTTTGTAGAGTCTCTCAAAAAGGCCTGCCGCTTCAAGAGAAGGTGGACACATCGGCGCTATAGACTAATAAACATGTACACATTCCAGCCAGAAGTGCCTGCTTGTACTGCGAACAGAAGAACCTGTTCTATCGACCCGAAGAGCTTCCGCAACTCCGGAAGGAAGATCCCGTTCGCACCGTTCCCTGAAGGATCTCCACCCACAACCTCCGGGCCTTCGCACAGCACTAGAAGTGCATATTCACACCGCGACCAGGCGCCCATTCTCACCATGACACGGCACTTGTCGCACTGCACCAGCTGGTTATCGTCGTAGTCCTGTTCGATGTAGCACACGGCACACCGGTCGTGCCGGAACGTCAGGTTCAGGGGCTGGTACGTCGCGGGGGGCGGCTCGCTAGGCGCCTTCGCTGTGAGGGGGGGCGCTTTTGGCTTGGCGGAGAGGGGCGTGTTCGGGTGGGCGGGGGGGTGTCCGTCGTGCCAGGCGGCGTAGTTGGTGCACCACTCGCGGGCGTTTGGGAGGGACTGAGGACATCAGAAAGCCAGTCTCACGTCAAAAATGATATGCAGACGTCTGCAAACGGTAATGTTGCGTCGCTCGAAGAACGGCCTTTCCAAGGTTTATTGACGCAGTGATTCAGAAGCTCAGAGAACAAGAAGACAGTGCTCCGACGGTATGGGTTTGCTAGCTGGGGGTAAGAGTGGGTGCGGGTGCGGAGCACGAAAGCCTCTAGTTTGGACTTTACTAGGTCAAGGCTTATCGTACACTGAGCTTGTTCTTCAAGCAATCGCAAGGTACGGCAGTCAATAGCCAGAGGCACCATGCCGCAGCTAAGATGGGAGACGGCCGGAGTGGTTCGAGCGGATTTGTTTGTAAGCTCTTGACTCTTCTCAAGAAGAGACGGTGCTGAATATCACTGCAAGCTAATTCACCAGTCGTAGGCAGACGCTTCTTGTGGCGAGACTTGATTTTTCAAACCTCGGAATGGCCCGTTTTAATAAGAGCAAGGGGATGCCGGCCCACCTCAATGAGAGGCACGATCTTGACGTCGGAGAAGCCAAACATGGACGGCCCAGATTTGAAGTACGGTGCGCCCCCCGCCTGGCCTAGCCGCTCCCGAACCTCGCCAATCTGCTGGGCGATGTCCAACCACAGCGCGCGCGTGTCATACCCCTTCATCTGCAATAGGAGAGAGGCAGTTCAAGGAAGATCAGAGGAGACTGCTCACTGGCCGGATATGAGGGCAATCCTGTACAAACTGACAAGAAACCCAATATACGTGTCTTCACACAATCCTCTGGCGAGAGCAATCATCCAGCCCCGCCCATGCGGAAGACACGAGGGACGTTGCCACCCAATGCACAACTCGCCAGTCGCTTGTCAGGTATACGCGAATGTCGAGCTCGCTGGATTGCCCACGTGATTACGTCGAGGTGCTTCTCTTAACACAGACGACTCATGATCCTTCCCAGCCAAATGTTGCGGCTTAGCAGAAGATAATCAGATCTAGTGCCCGGTTGGGCAAAAGATACTCACTGGCGGGCCGTCTTCCGGTGTGATACGGAAGAGGGGCGCAGCCGCACCGTTTCTGTTCCCCGCTAGGATCTCCATTGTGTAGCTGACACGCCTCTCGGGATCTGCATGGGGCCAGGCGATTCAACTTAGACCGACGGTTGTATTTCAGATGCAACAGCCATAGAAACGGCGACGCGGAGAAAGCGGGTAACCTCAATATCTTGATGTTCTTGGCTTGCGATGGGCCTCCCGAGCATAGAGTAACCGCCGAACAGACCATCCTTCTGCAAATGCTATAAGCAGAGCGATCAAGTGCTACTGCTTTCTTCATGGCAAGCTTCTCCATCGACGCTCCTGAAGTTAGCCGGCCTTTTAGCTTCTTAACCCACGTGAAAGACCGAGCACCTTTTCAGCTCTAAAATAACGTGACTTCTCTCTTACTGCAGTGAAGGAGGAAGAAGTAAATCAAGTGTCGTAAAGAGTTCCTGAATGTATAGGATATCCTTGCAGCTTATATGAGATGCTCGAAGAAGATGCGTCCGATGTCAAGCAGCGTCCCTTTACTTCAACCATCGACTCTTGTCACGCTCTTCATGCGCACTCTCGCCTCTTCTAAGACCAACGGATCCCCTTGGAGTTAACAGCTCACTTTTCATGCTGAAGAACAAGCGGGTCGACCGAAACCCGACGGGGAAAATATGCGACGAGGTGTGGAAGTTCTTGGACTGGACAATCATCCCAAGCGCGTGCACCGTGAGCTGCGCTTGGCACTGGATCGGCAGTCTCGGCGGGGGCGCCGCGGGCTTGACCGGGGGTTTAGGGGGGGTTTTGGCGGGGGTCTCGGGCTCGGGTTTGGGGTGGGTTCGGGTTCGGGTGCGGGTTTGCGGGGGCTGGGAGGGAGCTGCTCTTCCTCGCCGCTGCTGGAGTCGTCAGCCGGAGAAAAGATGGCCTGCATGCCGGGGGGCAGCTGGCGGTGCCGCAAGTAGCTACACGGAACCGGATTCCGGTCAATATCTGGCAGAATCAGGCGTGGGAACGGAACTGATTCTCGTGCTTACCATTAGACATACCAGCAGACAGTGAGGGAGTGGGTAGTTCGTGCTGTAGGCAGTGTGCCTAGGTATTTGTTGGATGAGCACACAGGACGATAGAACGCAGCTAAATATAGGGGTGGTTTAGTAATGACAAGCGGTTACCGACGAGGAGCAGTGGTAAGGAACGCTCTTAGGCAAGGGTGACGCGGAGAAGAAAGAAAGCGAGCATTGCTGGTCGGACCAGGGATTGACATTAGTCAAGCGAATGAGGAGCTCAGCACAAGTTGACCTTCAGGAACGCAAAATCTTGCAGAGGGCACGACTTGTCAGTTTCCTACAAATCCCAAAACACCAAAAGTTCAAAAGCCTAAAAGCCTGAAAATATAGAGTCCTTTACTTACGCTTCCGTTTCCTGGAGGGCTTGCAGGAAGTTGCCGGCCTTGAGCTTCTTGTGAAGCCCCTTGTCCAGCCCCGATTGGAACGTCTCCACCTGCTCGCCGCGCAGCCTGGAGACAAGCGCGGGAGCAGAATTTAGCGATGCCACCCGATGCAAAGATGACTACCAGCTGCAGCTCTTTGTTATTGCTCCAAGTGGATCAAAGTTTGCTAACGACCGTTGATTTGACGGAGCAGGGCATCCAGTAAGCGCTCGACCTGAGTGCTTAATACTAGATGTACAACAAGAACAAAACGTGTCGAAATGGTCGTTGACACGAACCTAGTAAGTCCCAATTTCAGTGATGGCAGTCTTCCGCAGCAGTTGCAGTTGCGCTTTAGCAGATCTCCCGAAACGTCCTTCTTTCACATACGATTCAAGAATCATGACAAACACAGGATCCCTAGTCATCTTTCGCATTCTCCAGCAACGCACCTTCCGACCTCGCACGTTCCAAAGAACTGGACGGGAACGGTGGTGGCTGCCGTCTCGCGGGGGCCCGGCTCGAGCGCCACGCGCTCCGCCTGCTCTTCGTTCATCACCAAGCACGGCCACGGCGCGTGACCTGCAAGATCGTTAGAGGACTCTCGCTCCTTTCGGACTTGCATTGCTACAGATAGCCAGAAAGGCCCGCTGTGACGTATTGAGGGAGACGCGTGCTACTTTCATCAAAAGCTAATTGAGACATTCTGTAATCGTCGAACGACACTTCAGGTGTAGGACAGTTGGATAGCCACGGGCTCGCCAGCCAGGGGTCGCAAAGGTGGGCCGCCCGACCGCATCAATGTTTGGCGTCGACACGTGTTACCAGATTCAGCTGGTTGAGAGTCTACAGCACGGCTTGCCGAAACTCGATGTTAGCACGGAGTATGCCCATCTTGGATGTGAAGCACCCGAAAGAGGAGAGTTTAGGAAAGAAGTGCGCTCTCGGCAACCTGTTCTTCTGCCCTTTGTGTTAGGGAAACAAATCGTGAAGCTTGACACCACGGCCCGCTCACCTTTGACCTTCCCCCAGACGGCGTCCCCCTCGCTCGGCAGCCCGTTCCGCCTCAGCTCCGCTTCCGGTCCTTCCGTTCCGCCGTCGCTCGACTGCTCCCTTTTCCGTTTCTTCTTCGCGCCCCCATTCGCCGCCCGTGGGCCGGCCTCCCCCTCAGTGCCCGGGTCTGTAACTAGGATGGGGTCCCTTTCCGGGAAGACCTGGATCTGGATGCGCTGGTCCGCAAGGTGGATGACCTCCTCGTACCCGTCCTCGTACAGAATCTGCGAGGGGATAGCGAGGAGATAGTCAAGAGGCTCTTTTCTTTCTATGTATGTCGAAGGATTGTTTCTTTTTACATCAGTGACTGTGTGGGCTGATTGGCCTGACGTCGAGAGAGCCGCTGGAGATGTACGTTGGGACTTGAGCAACTTCCGTAGTCTTTTTTATACGGTGTCGGGCCCCGAACCCTGAAAAGTAGACAGCATCACTTCCTCCCATCTTGCCTGTTAAGAAGCACTGTTAGCCACATGATACCCTTCTCAAACCACCATGGCACTGTAACCATCAACAACCGCACAAACAAAGACCACAGAGCGTCAACGCTTCCCGTGTCAACGTCACCTTATGTGCAGCACGATCTTACCTTGTGCTTCCCCGTCTGGTTGTTGTACTGATAGACCACCCCCGGATAGAACGTGTCGTCCATCGGCCAGTACACCTGTACCAAGAACCGACCGGTGAGCAGCCACTTGACCGGTCCTTTAGCTTTCTAGGGGTTCTGGCTTTTAGAGTTGTAGGGTTTCTACGACTCCTCTTACGAGCATACATACCCGTTTGACCTCCTCAAATGCATCAAACAAAGAGCGGCAAGGGCCACAGGAGCTTCTCTCAGAGGGCAAACGCGAAATTACAAAACAGCCACTCCAGCACAATCAAGGCAGAGTCACCGTTTCTTCACGGGAACTCTTCTTGTGGTCAAGTCACTAAGAGAGATCTTGGAACAGTACGAGCAGACCAAGTACCAAAAGAAAATGGTGTGTCCACTGACAGCATTCAAGTTGTGCTGCACAGACCAAACGCTGATTGACAGTGCTCTATTTACACAGGTTGCAAATACTGCAGATTACTCTGTTCCAAAAGCTACTAAAAAAATGAGCAGGCCGCACCTTGCACTTGCGCCCCATGAGCGTCTTTGGGGGTGCGTTCTTCAGCGGCATCCTGCAGCGAGGAAGTCATCGACTCTCAATCAAGACGGCGTGCGAAACTGCTGAGCGGGCGAGAGCCTCAAGACCAAGGCCGTTCTACCTGCTAAAAGTAGAGGCGCCTCCTTTGCAATTTGTAGACGCGAGAAGCGCATATCGAAACAAGTAACAATCTTCGACCCGTCTAGTGACAAGGCCAAACGTGAGCAGTTTCAATGAGCAACATCAGGCATTTGTACAGAGAACGGAAGAACGCTATCGACTTAGGATAAGACTACTGACAATCTCCAAGACGCAGGCTATTCAAAGTCCGCAGTAGGCACTTTTTGAGACAAAATACACACATCTAGAAGTCTGGGGGGGGCTGAAATTTCTCGACGACTCACTCGTGAAAAACGCCTTCGTCTCTCTTCCGCTCCCTGAACGCCGCAAGCGCGGCGGCCAGGCTCTCACCAGAGCCACTCGCGACGTCGCTTGTCCTGACGTCATCACCGCCAGCAGACGGGACAACAGGGTACGGGTCCCTGAGAATCTCCGAGATGGTGCGACTGGCCGGCCTTTTCACACTGGCCTCTAGTCGCTCTGCCTTCGGTGTGGTCGGCGGGGTTTCCAGGCGGTGTGAAACAGCCGGAGGAGCCGGCGCTGAGCGGTCCTTCGTTTTCGGACGCTTGCTCGAAGCTTCAACCTTTGCGGGGCTCTTCAGCATAGGGGGGCGTGTTTTAGGGGGCCTGCTAAGGAGTTTCTGTAAGGGACTTTTCTGCGGGGATTGGGGAAGCTTTCGACTGGGTTTGGATAGCGTTTGGGTTGTTTGAAGCAGGGATGGGTTAGCGTTTCGACTGGATTTGGATAGCGTTTGGACTGGTTTGGGAGTCCCCTTTGCCCCCTTCCCCTTCCCAGGCGCAACCGCATCCTTGGCCGGACTGACTGGCTTGAGAGAGCCGATTCCAGAGTCCAACTTCCGTTTCTTCCCCTGGGGGCTGCCCGCCTCGGGCCCCTTCTTCCGCTTCGTGCCCCCAGGAGAGGCGACTTTTCCTTCGCTCTGAGACTGTTCTGCAACCCGTTTCGGCCGGCTTTTTGCGGGCTTGGCCCTAGGGGACGCCCCTCCCAAGGATGCGGGGATCCGCGAGTTTCCGTTTGGCGGCGCTTCCCTTCTCTTTCCGCCGGACTCAAGCACGCCCACGGACGGAGACCCACCGGAAATGGCGCCGCCCGCTTCGAACCGGCTCTGCCACGCCAGCTTGACCGGCCCCCCCGGTTTCACCACTTTCCGGGGCGACCGCGGCGCTTTCGTGAACGGCGGCACGGGGCTCGACGGAAGCTGAGCACTCCCTTGCGTCCTACTCTTCCGCGTCTCCAATTCTCCGTTCTTGTACCTCCTCTTCCTGTCCAGAAGCAGCGCCCGTACGGCCTCGTCGGGATCCCGCCCCTCTTCGATCGCCTTCCTCCTCGCTTTCTTGGTTGGGTGGAAGCAAAACGCGCAGCACGGCTCTCCCGAAAAAGGGTGCCCATAGTACTGGCCCACAGTGGGAGGCCCCGTTCTCCCGCAATTGACGCATGTCTTCATGACGGGGCCAGCGCCCGCTACCGCTGGCTTCCGCTCACTCTTAGGCGTCCCCGGCGCGCGTTTCTGAGGCTTTTTGGACGGCGCCGGAGACTCCGCACTCTGGCTCGCCCGCAAGCAGACGTCAGCCAGTTCCGCTATCTTCTGCTCCTTTCCCAGCGGTGTCAGCCCCCCGCTTCGATCTGGCTCTGTGTCGGCCTCCGCGCATCCTCCCGTTTCCAACAACCCGTTGCTGTTGCCTTGCTTCGACGGTCCCGACCCCTCTGTCTGTAACAACCGCACCCTGTTCCCTCGCTGGCTGTCGACCCCTCCCTCTAGTTCCTTCTCCTTTGCAGGATCGTCCTTTTTAGGACCCTCCTCCTTGTCAGTCTCAAACATGGCAACATCGTGTTGTTCGCCCCCTTCTGCACCCCTCTCTGACGCCCCTTCTCCAGCCCCTTCCGCTTTCTTCCGCCTCTCCATCCCTTTCTTCTCCTTCTGGCGTTTCTTCCCGTTTTGCTCCCGCTCCGGTTCTGCCTTCACCTTCCCCCTCCGACCTTGAGAATTGGGAACATCTCCCTCTCCCATCTTTGCATCTTGACGCGCATTGGCTGCTCTTTCCCCACGATCCCGCTCACTCTTCCTTTCCCGCAGCCCCTCTCCTGGCCCGCTTGGCCTGTCCCCTTCTCCTAGTTCAGGAACAACGCTCGTTTCTTCATCCAGCTCAGCTGCCCACCGGGACAATTCGACTAGACTCCCGTCCGGTCGCATTCCCGTTACCTGTTCGCCAAAGTCCAGGACTCCAAGCTCGGTCCGTGCCCCCCGCCCCTCCTTCTGCAACCCCGCTCCCTCCTCCTGCCCACCCTCCGGCCTGCGCCTCAATCCCAGCCCGCTAACCCCCCTCGCTTCTTCCGGAGAGTACTGAAGCAGCTCATCTGCTTTCCTGCTGAGTTTCCTGGCCCTGACGCCTTTTCTAACAGGAGAGGCTGCCTGCTCCGCTGGTGCAGAGCACCTCTGATTCCCCTTGTCAAATTGCTGAAGCCCATCGTCTAATGGCCCTTCTAACGGCTCACTGAGGAGCCCCAACTGGGCTCGCTTAGTTTCACCATTGACATCCTCCGCTTGCTCGGCTTCGCTCCAATCGCCGATCGCAGCATTGGAGTTTGCTAGATGGCCTTCGCAGACTGCGGAAGCCTCTACACATGTCAGCTTTGAATCCAACCCGCTAGGCGACGCCCCTAAACAGCAGCCTGGCTTTTCATCCCCGCCTGCTTCCATTGCTTGGCTGTGCGACATGGTAGCAGTGTCCGTCCATCCAACGGGAGGGCTCTCCACCCTTTCTCCCATGCTCTTTCTGTCAGTCCCGTCTTGCTGTACAGTTGGGGGAGTAACTAGAGTGGCCGGCTCACTACCACCAGAAAACCCATCAGATGTCGCAACCCGAGCAGTCGCAAAACTCTCAGGGGATGCTGGGCTTTCGCTCGGCGGTTTCGGGAGGAAGCTTCGGCTGATCCCTTCAGCAGCGTCGCTGGCGGCCGGTCTCTCTGTAAGTGGGCCAGGCTTCGGAAGGGCCAAGACAGCGGCAGATGCCCCCCCCGCCACTAATCCCACAGGTCTTTCACTGGGCAAATCCTTGCAAGAACTCTCACTCCCATTCGCTACCGCTGGTTTCGCTCCGTACTCTTTCCGCTTCCTTTTCTTGCTTTGCTGAACGTCCGCTGTTGTGGTGGCCCCTCTTCCTCCTTGCGGCTGACCCCCTGCCTCTTCCGCTTTCAGTTCCCCAGATGCCGCTACCTTAATTGCGCCAGAATCCTCGGCACTAGCTTTCCTTTGCTTCCGTTTCCGTGTGCCCTCATGGATTGCTGCCCCGCTCACGTGTGCAACACCATTTTGCCCATTGACAACCGCGAGATTCGTTGGCGGGTGGGGCCCTGAAAGCCCCTTCTGGCCGGAAGCGCCATCCACCCCCATATCCTGGTCCAGGGTTCCGTCTCTCCCCTCCTTGCAGGCCCTGATGATCAAGATAGGTTGTGTCAGGTTTGGTTGATGAGTCAGCACTGTAAGATCGCCAGTCACAAACTTGGGCAATGTGACTTAGAAGCGCCAATACTCGTTGGTCCCGCCTTCAATGTCCACTGCAATGGTGTTGAAGGCACGTCTAGATCAGGCTATGGAAAAATTCTGGACGCATCATTCAGTTAGGGCTGTGCCCACAACGTGTCTTTGGACAGGGCAACCTTGTCATGGGGGAAAGCACCACATCATCGCGCACGCTTGCAGTGGTGCTGACAATCGAAAGCCCAGCTTCGCAGTCTCATTCTCCGCCCACTGCAATGTGCTCTAAAGCAGACTTTCTAAGAAGTGGTGGCTATGGAGTCCTAAGTTTTCAAACCCCAGCAAACAGGCAGTACAATAAACAAACGACCAAATTGAAATTCTGATTGGAGTAAGAAAGGTGAAGCGAACCAGAAGAATCCATCTGTATACAGGAGAGGGTTGAGGCTCAGCAAACAGGAGACAACCAGCTACCCAAATTTTGTTCCGCTCGCCAAGGGACACAGCAACTTAAAACTGCCGACCTTATGATGAATAAGGTAGATTCAGAACCATGGGAACCAACCTTGCAGGTGAAAAGAACGACTTCAGGCTCCTCTGCTTCAAGGGCCTCGCTTGCGTCTGCATTGTATTATCACTCGTTTGAGGGCATGATGAACTTGAACATTGCTTGAAGTCAATCATGTGAGCGATTGGTCACATTGATGATTCAGCTTTTGTTCCACCATACTGAGCAAACTCGAGCAATTCATGATCCTGGCAGCGGCAGCCATCAGATGTCGAAGGGCCTCCCAGAATGTTGTGCGAGGACTGGCGGCTTGCTTGCATTCGTTTGAGTGCACTCTGGTCCTGGCCTCTGTACTCGGTGCACTTTCATTTTGCGCGTTTGGTGACGCACCCCTCAACATGAATATTTTGACCCGACTGGCCGGTCGGAATTCCCGAGAAGCTATTACTGCCTTACGTTCTTCAATGGCCGGAGGCCGGTTCATCCCTCCTTGCGTGAAACCTCCCGTGTCCTCGTAGAGGAATTCGCGCCAAAACATTCGATTGCTCCTGCCAGAGATGGCCGTCGGCGTGAGCTGATGTTGATCAGAAGCAAGCAGGAAGCAGGATGCAGCTACAATTTGAGCAGGTGCAGGATTCCTTTGTTCTGGACGAGTGGAAGGGCGTCTTTTTTTGAACCTCAAGCTCTCCTATCAAGCTCTCCTTCTCGCAGGCCTGCCGGCAGAAGCAGATTTGGAGTCCTGGAGCAAAGCATTCTACGCCGGCTTTCTCTTTGAAACCAGTTGGCCAAGTGATTGCACTGCATTTGACTCTGTTTCATGCACGTCCACAGGACAGTGAAGCTTTCTCGGCGCATGCTTCTGCCCCTGAAGAAGCCTTGCGAGACTAGACGTACTGTCAGCTGAGGCGCATCAATCTCATTCTGATGACCTACAGCAAACCCTGTCATGGACAGCACCAATGGCCGTACGCGAATCACCATTGATCTTACCGACGACGACGAGGTGAAGACTATCGTTGAACCTGCTGGCCACTCCTGGAAAATGAGCGGGGTCACTGAGGAGCTGTCACCAGCATCTGGCAGCTTCAAGTATTCAGCCGTCTCGCTTGCAGGGCGCAACCCTAGGGAGAGGGATGGTGCAGGCAGTGGCCCCTCATGTAGCCAGCAAGAGTGGCCGGCGAGTGGCAGCCCCCTGAATAGAGCAGAAGGCGATCCCGCTGGGGAGTCCAGCAGTCCACCAGTCCTTTCACAGGAGGTGCGCGACAGGATTGCTAGGAACAAAGCAGATGCGCTTGCGAGAAGAGCTGCAGCGATGCGGAAGAGCGCAGAGCTGCCAGGTGAGGCAAGCCACTTTTGACGCCTGATGCAGTCTGGCAGCAGCATGCATAAATGATCACCACGTATTGCGTCATTCAAGAGATGTAGCTGCTGCCCCTGCAATGCAACAGTTCACAGCACCACCTTGCAGTCTACTTAAATCATTCTTTAGAATACTTACAAGGAGCTCACATTCTAATAAGAACGAAGCTAACACCAAGACATTGTAACCTGCTCGACACCAGTATCCAGCCTAAACCCCCTGTCCCAGTAGTATAACCTGCGCTTATTATCGTAATACTAATATAGAGACCCATTCTAATTATTAGTTTTATGCTGCAGCTGGGACTTCGGGGCAGTGGCAATCTGCCAAGCGGAGCAGTGACCTTTCATTTGAGCAACTTGGACCACCAGTCAATAAAAGGAATGGGGCCGCCCATGGAGCGTCAACCTCTACGTGGGAGCCACCAGCCCCAACAGAGGACGTGGCAGAGGCATCCAAGCCCCGCATCATCCTCTCAGCCCAGCAGATCAATGTGCTGGAAACCTTGCGGAAGAGAGAGTACGGCCCTTATGCTTCACAGCTTGCAAGATGACTTTCTTGCTGCCAAGCTGTGATGAACTGGAGCAGTAGTGCTGAGTGTGAGGCAACGAGAAAACGTCAGCCAAGTGCTGGTGCAGCATGTTGAAGTTGTTGCTTCTCAGTATCTTGTCTTCTTGCCGCTTTGAATTGCATGGTCTTCAGTTGGTCAGGTGACTCGTTTCTAAAAGCTGCCACAGTTTGGGTCACCGGACATCGAAGAAGGTGAACAAATATTGCGAGAGGCAGTAATAAATCACGGTCGAGATAGAAGGCGTATGGGAAAAGGCCAATCTAACATGCTCAACATAATTCTGTTGCAGATCGGTGTTTCTCACCGGCAGTGCAGGAACAGGTATAGAATCTGCCCAACCCTTGTCTTCCTTATTGCAAGCCTTCTCGAGGCACCTTACTTGCCTTCTCGAGGCTCCTTCATCCTCAAACTCCGTATCAAGGAAGCGTCTGATTGGCCGTCAAACTCACTGCCAGCAATGATGTAGAAGTGGCTCGATTGTAGTATGCTTTTCGTTTGATCTCAAACTTGCGAGTGTCAGGCTTCAACGGTAAAGCATAGGATGTGCTAGCTTGTGAGAGAACTTTCAATGAGTATATTGCGTCTCCTTTGTCATTGCAACACCATTACTGCTTTTGACAGATCTCCACTCTCCTCAACACAATCTGATTTTGCAGGGAAGTCTGAGCTCCTCAAGCATGCCATTAAGCTCATGAAGTCGATGTACCAAGATGCGAACGTCTTTGTCACGGCAAGCACAGGCATAGCAGCTGTCCATATCAATGGTAAGCGCTTGCGCTCGAAATCGTATAGTTCGGCCTTCTGCAATCCGTAAGAAAGTGTTGCAAGGCCTGCTTACTACTCAAGTTCTAAGATGAAGCATATATCTGCTTGAGCTCGCTCATATGAAGGCTTGTCCAGCAAATAACTCACGCCTCCGCCTGGACTGTCTTAACAGGTCCCATCGCTATTATGAGCAAGCAGCATCGCAGAGTAGGGTGTTTATGAAACTGACTTCATCTTGCTCTTCTCAGGAACAACACTGCACTCCTTCGCTGGCATTGGCTTGGGGAAGGATAGCAGAGCAACGCTGGTGATGAAAGCAAGCCGGAGGGAAGCACAACAACGATGGCTACGAGCAAAAGCGTGAGAACTCCCGCATTTACAGCCCCACTTTTAGCGATTGCAGCATTAATGCAGTGCCTTGAAATTCTCTATGTTTTCTTGACGGTTGAATACATTGGTCGCTTTCGAAAGTTGGAAATAATGGTCGAGGAGAACTTAAGGATTGTTTACAAGCCCGCAAATACTGTTATTTTGCAGCCTGATCTGCGACGAAATCAGCATGGTCGATGCCGACTTTCTGGACACTCTCGAGTACATTGCACGGAAGGTTCGGCGGAACGAGGAGCCGTTCGGGGGCATCCAACTCATCTTCTCAGGTGAGCTCCCCGGTCAGAGCATACCGACATCGTCGCACTTGAGCGCACGTGTCCTGATAACGTTCTCACGAGTGGGCTGTCAGGCCGCCCTCTTTTACGCCAGTTGACGGTATATGTACCGCAAAAAGAACACGTGTGTTTTGTATTAGATAAAAGCAATGCCTGTAAACGAACCCTGCAGGCGACTTTTACCAGCTGCCCCCAGTGTCAAAGGACGGGAAGAAGATGTTCGCTTTCGAGTCAGACTGCTGGAAGAAGTGTATCAAGCTGGAGGTGAGGCCCCCTTATCTGGATACGGCCTGCAATGCTCCTACAATACTTGGTCCGACTGCTGCATCAGACTAAACTTTATCTACGCGCTTATGAAATCGAGCTTTCAAGGGCTTGTTTGAGATTAAAGCAAAGCGTGTACCTAATACCTCGTGGTTCTTGTCAGATTGTAGAGATCCAGACGAGGATCCACAACATGGGCGTAGACCGTCTAGGCCGTCATACCGATGGATCACTGGAACTTGACGGCGACAGAAATCCCAAAGTTATCCTCCAATAGATCCCGTATTTCCTATTATTCTTATCAAATATTACACGCGAGCCCTCCATGTAGAGTCTGATTACCAGCCGAAAAGTTGCTGAAAGCATTCTCTTGAACGGTGCAGATGGAGCTGACCCACGTGTTTCGGCAAGAGGACGAGGCGTTCGTCAAGATCCTCAACGAGGTGCGCACGGGACAGATGTCGCACGGAACGATCCAGGCTCTCGAGAACTGCCGCGGGCCCCCACAAGGAGACCTGCGGGACGGGGTGGCGCTCACCCGACTATATCCGCACAACGTGAGCGCTCGTGATTGCCTCAAGTGGGATTGCGAGCTTCCTTGGATACTCTCCTTTTGGTCGGAAGACCGCATTCGATAAGAACAGGAGACAGAAGAGAACTTGGCAGCTATAATGCTCCCCGGTTGGTTTTCTGCTTCAACGAACGCGAGCCGCGTTTTCGTGAGAGCTATAGATGGACGTCGAGAGAGCACGGTCCGCCTAGCTATCGTTTCCTCGGGTTGTTCAAAGAAATTTCGCCAGAAGACAGGCAGCTATACTTGTTTCTGCTTACGAGGTGGCAGTTATCCGTGACCATCAAGATCGGCTGGCTTCTTGTTTCGCACGATGCTAACGGATTGATCGATTGACTTGACAGGTCGACGTCAAGCACGAGAACGAGATGGAGCTGCGACAACTGCAAACGGAACGAGTGGTCTACGTCGCCCACGATTACTCGAGCAGCGACTTCCACAAACGGATGGTAAAGTGCCGACCCTCTCGTTTGCCACCTTCTTAGTGGATTATTCTTGCACCTGAGCCATCGGATAAGCTGGGCACGAGCCGATAGAAAGATATAAAGCGACATCGTTCGGGCGTCCTGGCTGGGCCAGTCAAGGTTTCGCCGAATACCTTTTCGTTGTCCTATCGTTGATACTTGGCCTCCTCTCACATTTGATTCAGTTAGTCCCGCAGAAAGAGAGTGACTCGCGAAAAAAAGATGCATAAAAGACTTTGGCTGTGACGCGACACGAGCCTGTGCCGCTGCACCAGAGCTCATGCTGACGTCACATGTCGCCTGTACAGCTGGACCACTTCCTCGCCGAGCAGCGGCTCGAGCTGTGCGAGGGGGCGCAAGTCATGCTGCTCAAGAACATCGAACCTTTGTACGTCGCCTCGTCCCTCGCTCCGTTGATCCATTCTTGATTGAGACGAGCCACATTTCCAGGCTATGAAGAGCTGGGGCAATGGACAATTCAGCCGTTCGTGGCAGACAATGATCAATGCGTCCTTTGGTTTCGATGCAAACCGAACTGCCCTGTCCAGCCATTAGCTGTCTTACAGTATCACCATTTGCGAGCGGTTGCTTCTTTCCTCTCTGTCAAACAGATCAATTGCTCCAACTGTATATTGAAGCTGATCCGTGATGTGCTGTTTCAATAATGCTACAGGCTGGGCCTCTGCAACGGTGCTCGCGGCAAGGTGCTAGGATTCACCGACGCCACTGACCCCGAGGAGGAAGCCGCACGGACAGAGCACGTCAAAATCGTTCCGCACGGACGTAAGCTCTCCACTTTCGTAACGACCGGAACGGCGGATTTCTGCCTCATACCGTCTGTTCGCGCCCTATAAACCTGTTGTATTCAGCCGAGCTGGGCGGGCCCACATATTAATCGGTATCATTCTGCTACCATGTCGGTATCGTACCTACTCACGAGGAGGGTTTTAAACATTTTGAAACCCTCCTCGTGTTCGCGTATATGTGCATCTTCGTTCTGGTGAATGCGCGCTCTTTTCTGGGTCTTGAACCATCCTTCAGGTCCCAAAATACTTGCTGGAATCATCCTTGCAGGCTTCCCTGTCGTCTACTTCCCAAACGGCGGCCCCCTTCCACCACCAGAAAAGGATGAAAAGGCGCAAGCGAAGCGGCCAGGGATGACCAAAGTGATCAGGCCCGAGTCTTGGAGTGTATCCTACAGCGCATCTGAGCTGCCTTCCTCCCATCTGCGTCCCCGTCTCTCTTGCATCTGCCCCTGGCACCACTACTTTTTCTTCAGAATAAGCTTTGCAAACTTCGGACTTTTGCGGCTTGACGAACCTTCTTTGAGTGATATGAGTGTCAAGAAGCGTCCTGGTTGTGCCTCTCTTTCTCCTTGACACCATCCGACAGAGCGTGGAGGGGAGCAGGGTCCTGGTGGAGCGGACGCAGATCCCGCTGAAGCTCAGCTGGGCGCTGTCCGTGCACAAGTGTCAAGGCATGACGCTGGACAGAGTCGAGACGGACCTCACGAAGGCCTTCGAAAAGGGCATGTGCTACGTGGCACTCTCGAGGGTGAGGCAGGACGCCACGTGTCCTTGAGCTCGTGTCTCTACTATCACGTCTCTGCCTGTGTGAGAGCGTTTCTCAGGGAGTCTCACATCGCGGTGCGGGAAACGGCCTGTGGTTGAGAAGCATAGGATTGCGGTCGAACAGCCACTTAGTTGAGCGGTAAACAGAAGCAAAGCAGAGGAAAGTATGAGGACCTTCACGCCAGTAGCAGCGGCCAGCTTGCAAAGCACGGCCCGCATACTTACGTGCTCAGTTCTTCGCGCCCTTTTGAGAGAACATTTTTTGTCACGTTTTCTTAGACAAGCGTCTTGTCCAGGTTCGCTCACCAGAGGGTCTGCGACTGACGGGCTTCGACCCTCGCAAGGTCAGAGTCGATGAGAAGGTGAGCTCGTTATCACTGACGTTTGGTAGTCGCTTCTTTGTACACTCAAAGAGCCGATCCCACAACGAGGCCATACATGTCGGTCGCTTTGTACTGTACTCGAGCGGCTCTAAGCTTGCAGCGGAACACGATTGGCCCAAGAGATGCTTGTTCAGATTTCGGGAATCAAATATCACGTGTGTCAAGTGCAGGTAAAGACGTTTTATGAGCGGTTGGCAGAAAAGGGTTCACGTGGAGGGTGAGGACATGTGAGAAGTTTTTTACACATGAATGCGGAGACACTGCTTTCCTGACCTCCGCATTGGCATTGTACATTTGACGGCTGGTTCCTTTGAATCACATGCACTTTGCTGGTTCCTTGAATTACTGGCACATACCCGCGCTTCCATCCTTACCAAGCGTGGTCAATGACGACGTAGCAATGGTATTCTGTGTCTCATGCATCGATCCATCATTTGACGTGGACGAGTTAGCATCCACTATGAAGACCGCAATTGTCCGTCGAATATTGAACGCACGAGTCTCGCATGCCAATGAGTCCAATGCTTGTCAGTTTTAGCATACATGGTAGACCGCCCGGGAGGGCGGTGGAGGCTTGCCTATTATGTGGGGCGACCGGGCGGCTTTTACAAAGTGCGTCTTCTGCCAATTCCGGCAGATTCCATTTTTTGCCGATTCCGACCGGAACATACCCAAGTCTCATACGGTGCGTACTGTAAGTTGTTTTGCGGTGCAGACCAGGTCACCAGGCTCTCCTCTGCCCGGGCACTTTGTCGCATCTTTACAAAAGTTTGGGTGCAATGCTGATGGAGTCCACTGTAGTTAAGGGTATTTTAATTTCTATTTTCTACACTGAATGGCCGGGTTAAGCCGCAGTGTCAGCCGCTTGGCAGAGGTACCAACTTCAACGTGGCACTTCCGCACGAGTTCGTAGATCTCGGAAGTTTACGTGGCAGCTCTACAAAAATTTGTTTGGAGAAATCGAGGGTGAATGTTACATCGTTACGTTAATTTGCGTCGGCCCACTCGCGTCCGCGTTCGATGCGTAGCATCAATTCACGAAGGCGCGCAGCCCAGTCTGTCCTTGGCCCCGGACCAGGTGTGGATCTTCAGGGGGATTTTGCGTACGTTTTCGTATCGAAGCACGGGCGATCGATAAACACTCCAGTCTCCCTCTCGTTATCTTCCGCAGAGCGGCGTCGTACAGCGTCGCCCGAAGAGCGGTTGGGACGAAACCAAAGGTTCGCATATTTACTTCGTAAATAAGGTGATTGCGAAGATGCTCTAGCTAGTACTAAATTAGCTAGTGGCTAAATAACATTAGGGCGACGATTCAAATATGCGTGCGCACCGGCCGCAGCATGTGAAATTACAATGATTCAAGCGGTCCAACTCTTGAGTACTAAGTGAGGCCGGTCCTCAAAGCTAGGGATGCTAGTGCATTTGATCATTCCGGGGGCCACATCAAAATCGATCCATAAAGGCAAAATTACGGCCCTACCTAAATACGTGGCATATGATCTGAAGGAGGGGGCAATCTAGCCGACTTTATCATCCCCTTTGCATGCAGGATCGACACGACATTGGCCCCTGAAACGATATTCTGGCAAGCGGTTGATGTGCACCGACCTACAAGACCCCTAATTCCTGATGAGACTGTTGACCATCCGATGGACTTTCGTTGGCAAGCAATCAACGAAAATACATTCTTTCAAAGCGATGCGCAACATCGACATTACCCCTGGCTAGACATCTGGGTTAGTTGGGGTTGCAAGACAAAAGCGATTCGACCTCTACACTATAGCTAACCTGGCACTACTCTACCATCATTTCGATGTGACCCGAATATATTAGTTGCGCATGCAATCAACAAGCTTAAGATAACACAACTCGCTAGCTGCTACTCGGTGCTCCAAGAAATACCAGCCTCCATGATGTCGCTTTGTTGCGGTGTTTTGAGACCATCTTCGTTCCCTTCAACCACCGGAAACTCCTGTACGGGGTCCATTTTGAAAAAGCTGGCGGTTCCTCGGAACCGCATGGACGTCTGGCTGTGCCCCGTTGCCACAAGGCCTATTGTGTAGAGGGTCATCGGTCGAGACGGTAGAGTTGGTACCTCCATGTCGCCCTGGAGCATCGCGATGCATTGTCGCATCGTCGGCCGTGTCGTCACCACCGTGTGCACACAGAACAAAGCTATCTGCAGACCGAAAAGCCCAAAGTAAGGGTAAGGGTAAGGGTTCTGATTGTTGTGGACCCACATACAATGATAGCTGGTTTGAGTTCTGACAAACCACCAGATCTCACCCCAAAAATCAACACCTAAGACCACAGACGAAAGCACCCACCAAAAGCGATGGGTCTGAACCGAGGCTTCCGGCTTGCAGAAGAAGAGCGTATGAGCACATTAGGTATCAAATGACCAACCGCTGAAGCGGCTTACATCAACATAAAATGCAAGACTTACCCTCAGCACTCGCTCCATACTCTCCCAGTGCTTCTCAAAGTCCGGGTCAGCCGCCAGTCGTGGATCGACCAGACAGCGGAGCCTGCCCTGCTCAGCGACGATCCAAGCGTACTCGGGGAGAAAGACCTGTACGGAAGGTGTTACTCTCTGTACGGGCTGGTTTCTATCTCAAATTACGGAAGACTCTCCCTAGAGCTATTCTGGACTTTGGCAACAGGCAAACAGAATATGAATTGGATCCCTGATCAGATTGATACTGTGTGGAGAGGGAGATTTTGGAGACTTAATAATCAAGCAGATGCGTAGAATGGCCACTTACAACGTCACTGAAAACGTAAGGTTACTTCTTCGAATTGAAGCAACGCTTGAAGACAACAAACTACTACGCGAGTGTGCTTTCCTCCCCCCCCCCCCTTCCCTCCAATAGCAATAGAGACAGACGAACATCAAAGTGACTCTTTAGGAGTGACAGTGATAGAAGGTCTGCCCGTGTCTTCGTGTCAATGTGAAGTAGCAGCTCACCTCATCCTCTGGGAGACCAGCCTCCGTAGGCCTCCGACCAGAGATCAAAGTCAGCAACACGACCCCGTAGCTATACACGTCACTCTTCTCTGTCAGCTGGCTCGTTGCAACGTACTCGGGGGCCAGATATCCCCAAGTGCCCGCAATGCCTGCATAACCCCGTCCACCAGTCCAGTCACAAACAGAGCCCGAACTTGCAAGAAAGGCTCTGCAAAATGCTTCAGACCGGCAAAAGCGAAGCAGAAAAGCGGAATAGATTTGAGAGCACCTACAACGATTGGCATGCAAGTCAAGCAAGTCAGCTCTGTTTCGCAGCCAGCGTGACTTCTTTCTAATCGTGTAGAGTACGTAGGTCAGCAAAATCACCTGTGCTGATGTGGGTTGCCCCGTCGTCGGAGAATTTGGCCAGGCCAAAGTCGCACACTTTGGCGTCAAACTGCTTGTCCAACAAGATGTTGCTCGGCTTCACGTCTCGATGGATGATCTTCGGGCTGCAGTCCTGTGGGACAAGAAAGGCACGAACCACTTGAGTTGAGTAAGAAGAGGAAGATGTGCATGGTTTCCAACGCAGGTAAATCGACTTTTTGATCCGAGTCTGCCCAAGCGACGATCGGCATAAGTGCTCACCGGCGCCCTGCTTTCTTTGCTTGCAGCACCCTTCGGTACGTTACACAACGTGGCGAAACTTCCAGGGTAGCATTGCTGACGCACCTACGGTATGAGTCAACAAGTATGGTGCAAGGGAACGATGCCAAAACTCTCATTCAAGAGCCACAAGCGCGTCACTCCGATCATGACCGCTGTCAAGCAAATTTTGGGATGTGGAACATGGAAAAGTATCAACAACTGTAATCAGCGTTCAGAAGCGAGTGTTTAAACTCACTGAGCCCACATGCTCGTGTAAGATGCTTACCTCGTGGAGATACGTCAGCCCTTTTGCCGTGCCCACAGCGATCTTCAGCCGCATCTGCCAGGTCAAAAAGACCGGGTTTCCCCTCCCTTCCACCTTCTCCGCATCTGCCAGCGGAACATACAAGTGGTCCTCCAGGCTGCCATTCACCATGTACTCGTACACGAGCACAAAGTGGTTGTCCGAGACGCAAACACCAAGGAGCTGCACCAGGTGCTTGTGTCTGCACCGAGACATCGACTCCACTTCGTTCCCGAACTCCTGCAAGGCAAGGACAATCAGCAATCAGAAAGCAGCACCTTCTGCTTTGATTGTGATGACATTGGGGTTTGACTTCAAGGGCCGAACAATAGCAACAGTCTAGAGCGGTTTGCTGTAACCAGAGACGTGCCGAAAAGAGCGAGTTGTGATTCAAGATTTCTCATGGGAGCAGATGACTGATCTGCAATTTTGCAAGTCGTTCAAAACCTGCTAGCAGACAGTCAGCCAAGCTTCGGCTGACTGTAGCAAACAACGTAGATTAGAATACCGTTTCAGAGTACATTCTCAAGGCGAACTGCTGCAGTTCAGAGTACAATGAGGTACAATGAGGTAGTAAATTCACCGTCATCAATTTGCCTTCCTTTGTGAATACTATCACCAACTGCCTAGAAGCCCAGGAGCCAGAGAAAGGCATGCAGCTACTAGAAGAACGAAGTTGCGGAATAACCTACCCTCGAACCCGCCTTCGTCCTTCCCACCACGATCTTCTTCACCGCGACCATCCCACCGGAGCGCGGCAGATCCCCAAGATAGACATACCCGGAGCCCCCTCTCCCTAGCAGCCGCTTTGGAGAAAAGTATTGAGTCGCCCGCTTAAGCTCGTTGTAGCTATACACGATGATCTGGGAGTTTGAGTAGTTCTCGGAGCCCCCAAGCGACAAACTCCTTGACAGCGACTTTTGCTCGTAGAATGACCATCCCAGGACTTTCTTTTTCCGGCACAGTCCCAGCCACGCCGACACTACAACCAACACGGTGACCACTACAGCTCCGCCTACTGCTAAGGCCACAATAAGCTTTGTGCCTACTGGCCTGCCAGACCTAGACAGCGAGCCCAGGGCGGTAGCATTCAACTCAGCAAGGGCAGTTTCGTTGACTCCTAATCGAAGGGGGTCTGGCAACACGATGTAACAGGTCAGCCGATCCGTGGCCTCCACGAGGTTGGCCTGCTCTGCCATGTACTTTATGTTGATGTACACGATGCACGCGAAGATGGCATCGGGAGATGCGAGCTCGGAGCCCATGGCAATGAGGTCGGTGGTGCAATTGGCGTTGCAAGTCCCTGGGCTGCACTCAGCCTCCAGCTCTGTAAGGTAAGAGCTGGGGAACGTCGCGCCGTTGTAAAAGGTGTACTCGTTGCAAGCCTGGGGTGTAAGGAAGTAGGAGCCAGACAGTTGACAAGTGTCCAGAATGGAGGGGTCGACGCCTTGCTGGGAAAGCTGGTCCCTGAAAGACTGCTGGCACGCGTCTAGTTGATCCTGCATCACCCATGAAAGAACCAGAACTTAGTTGAATGTGGACAACCGACAACTTGCGAGAAAGGTCACTGCCAGCATTGACCTCCACTGCACCAAACCAAACGCATGGCATCCGCCTGTCAAGCATTCTTAGACTCGTACTGCAAATGCACACATCTGCTGTACGGAGGATAAAGTGACTCCGGATACTTAGAAACTGGTGGGGCCTTCTTACAAGTCTGGCGGCCATAGCCTATCTAAGATAGCCAGACCTCTATTTCCAGAGCTCCCCCCTTGATCTCTCGAAACAGCTCCTGTGGTGTTGCCCCAGTCCTACAAACTCAAAAGCAAACCAGACGACTGCAACTACACCGTGATGCCTGGCATGAAGCCGGCAGCAGATGTGCCTCAAAGCAGCACCAGTGAAAGCAACTCAGATCCTTACCTGTGGCAGGGGACCCGCTTTGCTCTCCTCTCGGTAGGTGAGTATCTGAGCAAGCATGCCGATCATGACGTGGCAGCACCGCTCATAATGATACGCCTCAGGCCCACAGCTCCGGCGGACTGCAGAGAAGTCCAGGATCTGCCACGGAGTGGCCGTGCAGGTCGACTTCTGAACCAGTGGGGCGTAGTCTGCACCCCAGGAACACCTGGCAATGCCGTTCCCGACAATGCTTGGGACGGAACTTGCAACCATGGCCACTGTGGCCAGTTCTGCACCAGGGAAAACTGGAACTTCAGATCGGACCAAAAAGAAGGACCAGGGAAAGTCTCGTGTCGCCCCAATCCAAAGAACGCACAAGCACGGTACTGGTGTCGTGGAATGTCATCCTGCTCTTGGTGACGCTCAGCATAAGGCCCTGATGGAGAAAGTATTTGGGGGTGTTCAACAACGTGCCCTCAGCTCTTTGCTTACGTCTGCCCGTATTAATTGATCATAAGCCGGTGCGGACCCCAGCACAAACAATGAGACACGGTCCTCTGAAAATGCAAAACTGCAAAGATGTTTAGGAAAGGGAGACGACTGGCAGTGGGGTCTCACCTTGGCAGGGGGCCGTGGCGAGCAGGCCATCATCCTCTGGATTGCTGGTGGTCAGAGAGAGAAACCGCTCGGTCTTGGCGTTGGCACATGCACTGCAATTGGTGCTCCGGAAGCAGCTATTAATCACCCCTCTATCTGCAAACAGGAATGCACGACAGCTCAATGTAATAGGAAGTTGCGACGCAGCTTGGAAATCACATTTCGTCCCAAAATAAAGTCTAATCTGCGGTGTGAGACAGCGGCACATAACTCATCCGAGAAAATGCTGTTGAGTTGCTTCAAACCAGAGTTGGACGAAGATGAAGAAGCCCGCCTTACAGACTATGCATAAATGAAGCATTGGGACTTGTCAAAACACGGCTACTCATCGCCGGTAAGATAAGAACGAATCGCTGCGAGAAACACTGCGGTCATGCCAATGTTGCCTGCAGTGGACGACAGTTGCAAGCCCCTGCCAGCAGCTTTTCGTCGCAAGTTGCAAGCTGAAAATATATCCACATTGATTCCATCAAGTGGCCCTTTTATGGACTCACATACTCGTCCTGCTGATCACTGAAGGCAAGCTGGCAGGCATTGCGGACTGGTTCCGTTTTCCAACTCAGAGGATTACAGACCTTCTAGAGCACCCATGCAAGTGTCTGGACAAGAGACAACTTTCATTGGGCGGGAGCAAAAGGGCGCCATATTGATCAGGTAGACGAATTCAGTACCTGGGAAACTCCGGTTGGCTGCAAAATAGAAGTCCCTCAGAGTGACAAGACTGGTGCCGCAGGCGGGAGCCGAGATCCGAGACGTCGTGATGTTGCAAGTCGCCAAGAGCATTTCTGCATTGCTTACGGTCACACCCTTGAGCGCGACAACCAAAGTCTGCAGAGGAGACGAGAAATGAGACCTTGAAAGTCCTCACAGCATCAACCAAATGTCTCGTGTGTAAGAGGGGAAGACATCAAGATGCTGGTCAGTCTTCCACGAAAGCCTTCGAAACTTGAATTGAAGCACGACTCTCCCGGTTGGATCGACCACTTTGGCACAATCACCAAGTAGACAACCGCTCCAAAACATTCGCAAGCTTCAGTGACCCAGACCACACACGAGGTGCTCGCTCAACTGCACTGCTGTGTCCTTCTCAGCCCAGAAACTCACCTGGAAGCATACATCTGCAACTTCACTTGACACCAAAAGGTTTCCCGTCTTGTTTGCATACCGGGCCTGTGCTAGACCGAGGATCCCCGCCGTTTTGCTGCAGCAGGACCCCTGAGGAGCTGTCCCCTGTGCAAAGACTGCAAAAAGAAATCATGGTCACTAACAGAACCATTAATCTTTTGTTAGATCAAGGCAAAACAGAATTTGCCCAAAATGTTATAAAGCAATTCATGCCTGCAGCTGGTTTGAAGAGCTCATCACCCTCATTCCCTGGTAATGCAACCCTCTACCACCTCCGCAAACAGGAAACATGATGACATTTTCAGGCGCAACTGCTATCCTGAGGTGCTGTGTCCCCACATTCCAACGCATGTTTTTTCAGCATACAAAACCCTGGAACTTGGGCTCTTACACTCGGAACGTTGTGGCTAAAATCTCATGCTACAGGGACCTATACAGAAGCACCAGCACCTGTCTTCCGCTTTACGAATACTAAATCTGCTGAAGTTCATGAAACGTCTTTCATCAACAGAGTTTATTGGTAAGAGGAAACGTTATCTATCATACGGATAACCTTCGAATGGGTAACACCCCAAGCTCCACCAGAACCCACAAAAACCAACATCAAAGTTCACGATCCGCAATCCTCAGGGTTCAGTCAATTTGGCCAGGCGCTCGCTGCAATTCTTCTGCGACCCTCAGGACACGGGATAAGGCATCAAGCGGAAGCCTTGCGAGGATCCCAGAACCGTCCCGATAAGGCTGTCACCAATCCTCGTTATGCGGCCTTTCCCATTGAGGGGTACAGACAATGGAGCAGGTGGGAACCTCAAAAAAAGTGGAATGTTCCTTGGTCTGCAAAATCAAACTTGCATTTCAGACTTTACAAAGGGGCGGGCGAAAATTGAGCTTGAAGATGCAGCAGATAATGCCTTGCATCTAGAGCTTGACACAGAAAGTCTAAGTAGCATTGCTATCTCCCTTGGTTTCACATTCTTTGGAAAACTCTAACTTACTTGAGGTGCAAGCCCCCGCTGCATCTGCCAAGTCTTGCTGGGAAAACTCAATTGGGCAAGGACCAGACCCAGCAGCTTGCAGGACTTTCCGAGAAGCCCCAAGCCTACTCCCTGCCGACCCCGCTAGCTGCTGAAGCTTGTTAGCACCACCTTCTACAATAGCCAACGAAGCAGCAGAACTCGCGGCCAGCAAAAGAATGAAGAGCCGCAAACAGCTGTCCTTCTGGAACCCCATTCAAGCGAGTCACATCAGACCCCACAAGCCATCACCTGCTAATGAAAGGCGATCATGGGCTTCAAATTACTTTAGAACTGCGCAGAGCTCCGCACTCCTGGGATCCTGCGTAATAAAAACCTTTCAAGAGCTTCGCCCCCGGTTTGTCAGATGCAAAACGACGGGGTCAACCCCGCGCGCCAGGTGCAATGCAGATAAGGACCTCGCAATAAACCCCTTCACATCTTGCCAGGGGATCTGCGAGCTAGGTTATACTGTCTAGAGACGAAGTTTGCTTTCACTGACAGGCCGTATACGGCTACCGTAGTACTGCTGTGCCGGCGCCAGCCACTTCCAAGTTCCACATTGGCTTCCACCATGAATCGTCATGTAGGTGTTAGCGTCACTTTGATGTGGCACCCCCTTGGGGTATTCTGTTTGGGGGGGGGCTTGCTTGGTTTGCTTCACCCAAACGAAGCCTAAGGTGGAGAAGGGGGGGTGGGCTTGTGGCCTTTCACTTGGGGCGCAGCCCCGACAGGATCTTTGGTGCAGAATTTTCCATTTCATGCTGTTTTACCCTCTTTTTGATCATTGGTCTGAACATCTACCGTAGCCTTCGAATGCTACAAATATTCACAATATATAACGTAAAAATGAGGCAGTAATGTGATACGAGTCACGACAGAGTTTTTCTGGCCAAGATTTTGGCCCGGTTGGTAATCGACTGCCTCGGGGCCTTGACCATTTCTGTGACGATAATGCCGGGAGGGGGGAGGGGCTTGTGACCCTCGAGCCAAAGTGCCTCTAAAATACCTATTACCGGGTGCCACTTCAAAGTGACGGTACCGTACCCTTAAACTTGCAAATGCGGCCGTCATGCGGTCGAGACCTGTCTTGCAGGTACCGTACCGGTATGTCTAGCCTCAACTTCCCTCAAGTACGGTACGCCGGTCCCCGTCGGTTCAAACCACCCGGCCCCATATGGGGGTATAACCAAATGAACGGTACATACCTAGGGATACCTACTTATTAGAAGGTGTCAGGTACGGTAGTCGTAGGTACCGCTACCGGGTACCCCCTGTAAGTAAGGTACGTACTAAAGTACCGGTAGCTACTACCGTACGGTAATACCACAGAGTGCGGCAGTTGGAGCAGAGGCGTGACTTACCGGAAGAGGGCAACGGTGCTTCATACCACCGTTACCGGCTCAAACCGTCTATGGATAACTACCGTCTGTGGATAGGCAGGTGCGTACCTTCCGTTTGTTCCGCTAGGTACCTCTGCAGGTACCGCAGCGACAGAGTGGGGTTAGGTTCCCGAATCCCCAGTGCCAAATGTGGATGTCGCGACACTTCAGGAATACCGTAGTAGGTATGCTCAAGAAATAGTACTCAAACCAAACACTAAAATTCTAACCTAAGAAATCTACCTGCTCCGCTCCCGTGCCTACCCTAACCCCCAGACTGACCCTACCCGTCCCAGGCTGGTGATTTGACTATTCCTTGAGCATACTATTCCTGAAGTGTCATTTGAACTCATTTCTTCAAATGTGCCTACCCACTTCACCAGTACCGTACCAACAATACTGTAAGTACTACCAGGTAATGAGTCATCAGAGCCACCGTACACTGTACAGGTACCTTTGTTAGTGTCGTCACCTTGCATGAGATCATGGTGACCGGATTATGTACCTGATACCGTACGTACGAGGAACTTCGTGTTACACTGACAGCTTTTAATACGAGCACAACAACGGTAGGTACCTAGGTAGATCGGATCTTGACCTTCCTTCTTGGTTTGTGTGACCTACCCAACTAGCATCCGGATGACGAACCAGGGCCCTTTCGGCTGGGTTAAATCTCCAGTTTCGCATCTTGAAACCGGTAAGAAAATAAGCTGTAACTACCTATTTTTAAAAGTACAATCAAATAAGGATCTAATTCTAATAACGAGGAGGAATCTTCTAGTTACCAACACGAACACCAGCACTAACACCCTAAGTTTCTAAGTTACTCGCTCCGCACCCGGACCCACCCTAACCCACCCTAACCACCATTCTAATCCCACCCGTCCTCGTCGGATTCTTATTACTCTACTGTTCAGTGTTTTCTTGTACCGTTTTCTTGTACCTATTATACTAGGTATCAAAGTTTACCTCTAAAAGAATTCCATGCCAGGCGGTTTTCAGAATCTTCAAAGTTCACCCGACGATCCGATCTGATGTGACCTTTGATTTCGTGACGATTGATCGCTACCAGGTACCTAATACCGGTAGCATTGGTCGGAGACTCAGGGACCCGGTACTCAGAACCTTGACGTCACGTTGGTCCGGAAAAAGTATAGGTATCACAGATCACTGCCTTGGACTGGGGTTTGAAAGCGACGGATCGAAAAAAAACGGAAGTGTAGATATCTTCGGAGCTAACTCTGGATGACGAGCGCAGAATATCGACTAAGCGTACCGAACCGCGTCGAACGTTGAAACTGCTCTCGTGCTGTTGCGACAGGGCAAGAACATAGGAATCTGCCACGTGTAAGGAATGACGGTCGTCGATATTGGTTCCATGATTTACGGCCGTCCACTGCCGAAGACTTTTATTATATAGATTTGGAAGGTACGCGCTCTTTTTAGCCCAGTGGGCAATGAGTTTGGTCGGACGGCTCGAGCTACGACTCGGAGGTCCAGGGTTCGAGTCCTGGCAGGAACGTCAGTCTTTCGGGGC